CAGAATTTCTCTATTTTAACTGGAAATAGCTTAACTGATTTTGAAATTGCAGGCAATTTGGGAAGCCCAGTGGGGCAACATTTCTGGCAAAGAGAGCCTTCAAAATGTATCAGCTGCTCTACTCATAGGATTTAGAGTCGGAAGGCACACATCTGGTCTAATGCCCTCCCTCATTTTACATATGAGGAAATTCAGGTCTTTCTGAGAAGCAAGCAGTGTGTCCCAGGTCAGCTCAACAGGAAAGCTGACTTTTGAACCTGTTTTTGGATAACAAATCCATTTCCACCACACAACAGAGCTACATTTATGCCCATTATGGAGATGGAAGGCCAGCTTGCCACGTGGCAAAGATCACCATAGGAAGAGGTACCCAAGGAAGACTTAACTAGGGCCATCAGAGAACACCCCAAAACCAGATGCACATAAAGAAGACAGGATGATAGAGGCTGAAGCAACAGCCTGAATGGACAAGTACTGAGATGAAAATGGTTGGTAATTCGAACAAGTAAATGGGCAGAGTACATAGATCAGAGCGCCATGAAGATGAGATTGATCCTAGAGGCAAGAGGCATTATTTTTTGAGCAGGGGAGTGACACAAAGAAAACTTTGAGGAGAAAATGGATACAGAATAAGAGCACAGATCAATGGAGGCATCATTGGGCTGGAAATCAGAAGATCTGGGTTCTAGGTTCAGTGTTGCCACTAACTGGCTACCAGAACGTGGTCAATTCATCAGGGAGGGGGTGGAATCAGAAGATCTGAGGCAGGAGCAAAAATGGCAACACCTCTAATGTAGGGAAGACAAACATGTATCCATAGATTCCAAAGTGAATTGTTGGTTGTATGATCAGAGGCAAGTAAAAACTACTAATCCATTTTTATCTGTAAAATGGTGATAATACCTCAAGATAACTAAAAAGCCAGCTATGTTGTTGTCCAGTAACGTCTAACTCTTGGTGGCCCCACTTTGGGTTTTTTCTTGGCAAAGATACTGGAGTGGTTTGCCATTTCTTTCTCCAGCTCATTTTACAGATGAGGAACTGAAGCAAACAGGGTTAAGTGACTTGTCCAGGGTCCCACAGCTAGTAAGTGGCTGAGGCCAGATTTGAACTCAGGAAGGTGAGACTTCCTGACTCCAAGCCCAGCACTCTATCCACTGTGCCACTTAGCTGCCACAAGTGGTTGTGGGAGGAAACATTTAATTAATTACTCAAATACAGTAGTTAAAAGTTTATAACCAGTTATCATAAGCCCCCAAGAGAGGGATTAAAGATGATGGGCATAAGAAGCAAAAAAAACCTTTCAGCAGAGGGGCAAAGTTTTAGCATCCATTTAAGAAATTTGGTTATTAGGCAAAGTGTCTACCAAGGCTGCTCAAAAAATGCTTCCACAAGGTGATGACTAGATTAGAAACAGATTGTCTCTTGCCAATTCTCTAGCCCAATCATTTCCCTATGCATCCTTCTGATTCTTCATCTGCAAATCAATCATTTTTGCCCTAGCAACATAATAGGCAGCAATGTACTTTCCATTGCATTACATTGTAGGGACAGGAATAAGTCCTGGGTTTCTAGTCTCATAATTGGCCAAGTTACACCCACTCCGTCCGTGCCTTAACTTTCTCCTTGGTAAAATAAAGTGATGTAAAGTCTGCAGGGAATTTCATCACTCTATAGAGTGCACGAGAACAGTGAGCCCAGAGAAGACAAGAGTCTTCAGGAAGGAGAGCCCAGACTGCAGTTATGCAAGAACACCACTCCTTGCATATTAATTCTAGAGGGCAGGACAATGATCAATGGGTACATGTTACATGAAGAGGGAGAGCTATTAATTCACAATAAGAAATCAACTTTCTAACAATCAGATCAGTCTGGCAGTGGCTGTCTGGCTAAACAGTGAGCTTTTATTCACTGAAGATACTCAAGCTAAGGCTGGTTGACAACGCATTTTCTTCTTCCATATTTCTTTTCTCGGAAGTCTTAGTTAAAGCAGTAGAAAAATGTGAAGGAACCTTTTTGCTGAAAATAAGGATGAATAAATTTAAGATAAATGTTAATGGAAGAACTAGGGCTTGCTGATCCATTTCCTCCCACTAAGAAAATAGCAAAGGCAGGGTCAGGAAGTGAGATGAAGAGTATCCATTATTTTCATCTTTTTCATGATTTTTCAAACAGGTCAGAATTCACTTGGCACCTACAACCTCAAGAATGGATGAAAGTGAATTAGAAGGTTAAGAGACAGGTCAGTTTCATCACCCCCCTCCCCCAACAGACACTGCTGGTGGCCCCAGTGAGGAAGAAAAAGTAGGAGTGAAAGTTTTTGTCAATAAAGACCAATTACCTCCCACGGCACAGCCTCTAAACCAAGGCTCCCCATCACCGTTCCACTGGTCACGGAAACGTGGTTATACATAAGTGGATATGGGTGAAAGATCCACAAAAATGGAATTCCTACAAAGCTGCTGAGAGGATGGTGGCTGAAGCAGAAGAAACTTCATGGCTGTAATGAAGAACAATGTCAGCTGAAAAGGGGAGAGAGACCGTGGAATACCAAGCTATTGAGATAGAAGTGCTCTAATGGTTTTGGCTTTTGCTCTGGTAGAAGTGGGGAATCTGACTGAGTCCCGGAGGCTCTGGAAATAAATAACATACCTAGTTAACAAATGTCGACCTTGTGAGTCATATGGGAAGGAACAGGTTGACTGCTACCTGGAGTGAGGTTAAAAGTACAGTACAAACCACTGTCTTACAAAACAAAAGGAACTCAGCTAATGGGGCAGAGATATCTGGCAGGAAGACCATACAGACCCAAAGTTCAACAAGGAAAGGAAGTGCTTCAATTTTTTTCTAGTAGTTACGGCCAAGAAAGGGGGCTAGTCATTTTGTACACAAGAAAACTGACACATCATATGAAAGAGCTGGTACAGTGGGAAGAACACTGGACCTGGAGTTGACCTAAGTTCCAGACCTAGCCCTTCTGCCCTGCATGGACAAGAGCCTATTTAACTTGAGCCTCAGGCCACTCCTGCAAAATGGATAATATGTAAAATAAGGTGCGTCACCGACAGATTTAGGACCGAAATGTCAATGAAGGTTCCCCACTTCTCCTGAGAACAGAGAACTGTTGGGACCTAACCCATTAAGATCAGATACTCCAAATCAGAAAGAAATCATCTCAATTATGAGACTGAAGGTAAAGGAGCCTCACATTAAGTGCCTTTGTGCTTAAACTGAGAAAGTCACAAGAAAGATTTGAAGGGGAAAGCACTAATGTCAAGAGATAACAAATGACCTACCTGGAGTTAGTCTGACTGCCATGCAGAGAAAAAAAAAAGAAAAGCAAAGGAAACATACAAGGAAAGTATCATGGTGCCCACAAGGGATAGCACAGAATGGCTGATAAAGCATGAATGGGGCCAGGCACAGCAATAAGCAGAACCTTGAGTGGGAAAGCTTGGATGCTGAACAAGAGAATGAATTTGGACTGGAATCCTACCTGACAAACTCTTAACCACTTCTTCGGGACTAGACTGTTTTTCAAGTTAAGCCTGACAGCGGGTCTCCTGACCCTTATGTGATATGAAAACCACAGGCAGGGGAGGAATAAGGCTAAGTGATGCAGACAACCTGGCTCTTAGTGAATCTTTGCAACAAGGCTGAGGAACCACATTTAGGGACTGACAGATGACACTAATTAGGATGACTGAGATCAAGACTGCTGAGAAGCTACAAGTTTGAAACATGGGATTAAACTTCTAAAAATGACAAGTACATCCAGGGAAAAATAAAGAGACTCAGTGGGAGGAAGAAGTGATGTGAGCTTTTTAAAAGCAGAGACTGTCTCTCCCCACGTTCTGCACAGATCAGGGTACACTGTGGGCGCTTGGGAAATGTTAAACACCACACAATACAGAAAACACAACAGAGTGACAGCGGGTCCTAGGAAGGGAACTGGAAGTGGTGCCCGACATCCTCACTTCCCTCCTCCTCAAATGCCTGATGAATTAAAGAATAATAGACATCTCCCCCACTAGAATGTGCCCAGATTATACCCACATTCAAGTTCATAGCACCTCATTATCAGGCATAAGACAACAGGACGAGGCAAACAGAAATGTTTATGTAACACACATTTTATCTACAGCTATGAGAATGGAGGGGCTTGCTTGTGCAGCTTGGCTTGGCAATGATTTTCAAAGATTCTGAACAAGGCATTAATGATATTAGCTAAAGTTTGAAAATCAGATACAAAGGAAAAAAGGAATTCTCCCTGTTACATTAGGCAGAGGTCTAATTCAGAAGAATGATAAAGGCAAAGACATTAACCATCAAAAGTTCTCCCACAGAAAGGTAGCTGCAGCTCTCGTTGGAGATGACCCTGTTAAGAAGGCTGGTGCTAAGCGCTGAAGCCAATGGCAGAAGGACAACTTGTCACTCATTGATGGAACTATCCTGAGACATCTCACTGTAGCCCGCTCTACTGTCTCACTGATGCCAGATTGTGCTATGACCACCTCTACTTCCTGATTCTCAATGGATTTAAGATTCCTATCTTCTGGTGGCTTGGATTCTTAACTACATACAGGGCTCTTCCATCCCCAAGTTTTATGACTCCTTTGAAAGAGTGGGTGTTAGGAACAAAGAGAGAATAAGAGCTGCGATGGTAATACAGACAGAAATGCTTCTTGGGATTCCACATTTCAGACCTGGAGAGAATTCATTAACATGAACACATTCTTCTCCCCCAGCAAACTTCACAGGAATCCAGCATGTGGCATGTCCCTCAAAATCCAAGGCATTTTGTGGGCTCTTTTCCATATGCTGGAGCAGGCCCTGACTTCCCAGGAACACGGCATGCCATCTGAGGGCAGAGAAGAAAACAAAAGCCTGGCAGCTTTGCCAGTGGCAGCTGGAGAACAGCTTGAAATAAGTCTGGGGATGACAAAACCCTATCAAGCCAGGAACTGAGTTCTTACACAGCTCAAACGAAACTAGCTGTCTAGAGCACATGTTAATCCATTATTATTTATTAGCTGTACAGCAGTATAATTCACCTTCCCAGCTTTCAAACCCCCATTACATATTTTATTACAGTTCTCATGTTGGCCTTCTAAAATAATGAAAAATATCACACAGTACAGCGAAGTACAAAAATGCATCAACCTAGAGTCTGATAGCTATACTCATAGCCTTCCTTAAAAGCGATACATAGAAGAAAAATTTGTTTGAAATCAGCAAGACTCTATAAAAAGCTTACATTTTTAACATGACAGTCCATATACAAGCATCATTTGTTTTGAAAGTTGTGTTTGTTTCACATTATTGTTTCTTTTTAAGATCCAAAATTTAAATTACTGACCTAGAGAAATTTCCTGGCCCAGGTTTTTCAAGGGCTACCATGACCCACTTAAAACCGCTGTTTTTGCCTTAACAGAGGATTTGTAAAACACAAAAATACAGCTAAAAAACAGAGCAAAGAAAATGTAGAGATGTGAAATCATAACAGTTAATTATACAAGGTTCCAATGCCAGTTCCATGTGCTTGGAATAAAAAACGTTCCACGTGGACTCCCATTATCCAGCAAGCAATAGTCTGGGTACCTTCTTCTACGTGATTGTGATCCATTAATTTTTTTTCCAACATTTACATACTATTGAGTCTGTTGTAACTTAATTTGTAAGTTAATTAAAATGCTGGGCTTCTTAAACTGCACTTCTTTCCAACCTCTCAATTAATGGAAAAGATTAAAATGTAAAAAAAAAAAAAAACCAAAAACAAAACAAAAACAAAAAAACAAAAACAAAAACCAGGTATTTACAAGCTTGACCATAACAGATGCTTTGCTAAGAAAGCAGCAAAGTGTTCAGCACAGAAATCAATCATAGCATGCCATATTACTGGTGTGCAGCTAACTCCAAGCCATAGGGAGTCAGGGAAAAAGCAAAAATAAAAATGGTTTAAAAGTCTAGGGCCCTCCCAAGTCTGCATTTACAATTAAAAACTCTTCTAGGAAGGGGGCGTAGAACTTTGGGAAACCTTGGTGGCAATTCCGGAGTGGTTTACCATAAGGGCTTCAGTGAAGGGCTTCAATGTTTCCATTTCCATCTATCAAAACTGGTTACATGTAAACATGGTCTTTGGACCATCACTGCAATGTTGATCTCAAATTTCATCGCCAACCCCCTCAAGGACTCAGTGTGTATTCTAACGTTCCATGATCTGCAATGCTAACATCAAACAGCAAGTTCTAGTTAAATCACATTTTCTACCATAATCTTTGAAGTTTAAGTTCCCAGTATGTTTGGTAAAATGGTCTAAAATGATGCATTTCCCAAAGCCAAGAAAACAAAGGAAAAAGAAAAAAGTAAGATTGAGCCGTTTAAACACAGCCCAGGCCAGTTCAGTCGGCAGAGCCTTCCTCCATCACCGGTCCATCATGCTCAGAATCATCTCTGGAGTGAGATCTCCATTGGGAGCTTCCACCACAGCTGACTGGGGCTCTTCTTCTTCACCTTCTACTGTTTCTGCATCAGGCTCTTTTTTGACTTCCACTATAATGTTTTCAATTGCACCAGTGTTCTGGTCTTCAACCTGAATGATTGCTGTAGCTAATGGGGAGAACAGGGAGAAACAAAAAACAAATGTCAAAATCCCCTTCCATTCCTTTCTCTTGTTAAATATAATCACAGAATTGGCCTCTTCTTGAACTCGTATCCCTGGAAAAAAAAAACAACTCAAGGGAGTAGGCTCTCACTACTTCAGGAGGTGGCCCTTCAGGCTTTAGGAGGGGTCTGATGGACAGAAAGTTGTTTTTTCACACTGAGTCTATATCTGGCCCCCACTGATTCTTCATTCTGTTCTGTGAGGCCAAGCAAAACAGCCCTACATACAAGAGTCCTTCAAATACCTCCAGAGGTCTTGTGTTCCCACCCAAGCCTCTTCTTTTCCAGCTAAATATCCCCAGTTCCTTTAACTCCAATAGATTCTTAGATGGCAACGTTTCCAACCTCTTTATACTAAGGTCCCTGGTTAGGATGGAGTAAAAACAACAACAACAAAAAACAGTGGAGTAAAAATGCCCTGACAGCACGGTACAGAAAGGGCCAGTGTAAGACTACAATGTCCAGAGTGGCTCTGTACCATGTCAATTCTAAATACACGTGGATGTAGAGAGAACACAGAGAACATGCCCTAGTTAGTAAAAAAAGGCTCCACATGGACTTCTTCCACTATTCAGCAAACAGAAGTTGGCTACCTCATTCTACTCGAATGTGACCCATCACTCTTTCTTTCTAACACTTACACACTAGTGAATATTGGTATCTCTGGAAACAAACTGTTATACTCCAGGAAGCAGCAAAGAATGGAACCTCACTATCTGCTTAATTAAAATGCTTCTCTTCAGCAAGTCCCAGGCTAAATCAATCAATAAGTATTTATTAATACAGAGCAGATGGAAAGAGAATCTGGACAGGGGCTGGCACTGTGGTTTCAGTGACACAGAGAAATTCCCAGATGAGGAAAGTCCCTCTACCAATGCAGGCTGGCACCTTCTTTGCAACTTTAAGAGTCTTCAGAGAATTGCTTAGGACCCTGAGAAATTGAGTGACTTGTACCCAGGGTTGCATAAAGCCAGTCCATGTCAAAGGTGGGACCTAAGGCCAAGGCTTCTAGGCTCTGAGGCCAGCTGTCCATTTACAATGCCACAGCTGCCTTGATAAAAGAAAAATACAAAGAAAAAAATATTTAAGTACAAGATCCTTTGGGAGAGAGGGCAGCAAGAAGGTAGGGTGAGGGCTGGCAGAAGAAGGAGGATAAGGGAAAGTAAAATGCTGATAACCACCCACAAACACTTTCCCTGAATGTTAAAATTCTTAGTTTGCTTTGGCAACCAAGTCTGTTTCATAGCTGGCAATGGAGGTGAAGCCACTTGAAAGAAAATTCCACCTACTGAGGCAGGACTAAAAATCTGTTTTCCTGGCTTCCCATGTTATACAGAGCAGCTGCTACAGCCTTCTTAGAACCCCCTAAAGCACAAGCTTTTATTCATATTTTACAGGGAGAGATGGGGTAGTTCTGTTTTACAATTAACCACCTACTTCACCACTACCACCCAAGAGACAAGAGGAAAAATTCACTCACAATAAGGGTTCAAATATAGGCTAGATAATCACAACGTAGAGACAGTCTAAGATGCTAACAGGTCCATTTATAGGCTAAATGCTTTCAGCTGCCTTCCCACTCAGAGTTGGTGCACAGAGAACATTCTTGTGTACGGAAGGTGAAGGTGAGGAGGTGGTAAAGGCAGTGACCTTAAGTACAAATTATACCTTCTATTTCCCTGAAAAATTGATTCCTGTGGCTTAAAAGAGATTTTCAAGTAATTAAAAGAAGGCTAGAGAAATTAAAATGATGGAAACAGATGAGTGATGCCTGCTTTAAGTTCTCTACCATTCCATTTGCTGCATACTTTTATGAATGTAAAGAGGAGCTGGGGCTCTCACAAAAATCCAGGCATTACCCCTGAAACCATTTCAGAGCACAATTTTACATGGAAGACTGGCTCCCCTTAAGAAAATTTCAGAAATATCAGAAGGAAAAAAAAGGGGAGGGGCTGGGGGGGGGAAGAGAAGAGTTGTTTATTCCCTATGTCTTCAAAGGAATCACAGTAATAACTTCTCTGGCTAACTTAAGTGGTTCTTAGCTCCATTTTGCATGCATGGTTATTTCCAAAGACTCTATGTATACACATATACATGGAAATGGTCATCTAAATAGATGTATAGACTTAGAACCTATACATCCTTCTAGCTTGAACCCTACATGTTAAGCTAAGACCATGCCTCCTCCTGCCCACCTCTCCAACATTTTACTATCAAACTCTCGTGACAGAGAAAGATCCTACGCAGAGTGGCAATGTGATCTGGTTTGTCTCGACTTAATTCCCATCCATGTAACAGCACAAAATGTTCTTCTTCACAACAGGAGGATGGGATTAAAAGCTGTCTAGAAGCGGGGGCGTCATTTTTATGGTAAATGGGTTTAAAAAGCAAAGCAAGCCCCCAAGGAACTGCTGCCACACAGGGTGGTGGCCAGTCTGTGAGTCTAAGGAATATCCCAGCCCCTGAGTCAGGGGCATTAACTCACGCTGGGCTTGCTTGGGCTGGCTGGCCTTGCCCGGTGGCCTCCCTCTTCGCTTTTTGGCCGGCGGTGGGGCTGGAGTCACAGGCTGAACTTCTGGTTCGGCTTCAATTTCAACAGCAGTTTCTTCCTCATCCTCATTGTCATCCAGATCTGGTTCAGCATTTTCTTCTTGCAAAATTGTACGGTGCAGAAGGGGGAGGGGATTGGAAGAGTGAGAAAGTGGAAAAAATACTTATATGAATTATCTTTCCACTACTGGAAAAATCCTTTGGGGTGTGTGTATGTATAACACTCTTGTTGGGTTTTTGTTAATATCATCAAGGCAGACTCATGTGTACCTGAACCTGCAAATTTTAATTCTATGTTGCTAAAATTTTATAATGCCAGATGGAAGAGAGATACAAGGTCCAAACCCAGAAAAGCATGCGATCAAAGTACCACTAGTTTCCAGACTTGTCTGATCTCATAAAACTGGAGAGCTGGAAAGGGACCTTAGAGAATGTTTAGTTCAACCCATTCATGGTACGGCTAATGGACGACAGTGAGCCGGCTTTCTAAAAAGCTACAAGAGGTAAGATGGATACCAGCAACTGAAGACAATGGTGGCCACTTTCTTGAATCAAGGGGACAATGTTACTTGGATGGGACAATTCACATATACAGTCTGAATTTCCCCACACAAATTTCTTTAAAAACAAAATTTTAAAAATCCCTTAAAATAACTAGAAAACACTCGCATGGCTCTCATACAGCCTATTCATCACACATGTAATTAATATGGGGCAGTGGACATGTTTGTACCCCAATCTGAACACTTCACACGTGGTGCTGGAGCAAAGTCACTCTTCTCAGTATGGTCATAACCGGTAACAGCAGCACCACATCACATGAACTAGTCCATGTGGTGGAGCGCTATCTGGCCTGTGCTGGGACAGGGGCAGGCAAAGCTCTCACCACTATCGGAGGACTCCTCTTTTTTGGAGCGCATCTTTCTTTTCCTCCCACGCTTGCCCTTCTTGGTTTCACCTCCATTTTCTCCGTCGATGCCATCTAGACCAGTACAATTGTCAGCGTGCCTCGCCATCGTGTTCTAAACAGAAGGCAGAAACCCAGCGTTTGACTAATGCAACAGGCCGCAGAGCAGGATCTCCACACTTTTTTTTAAACAAGATGCAAAGAGTCAGAACGGTCTCCTTAACTTCATAGAGAAGGGGGAGACAAGAGGCGTGAAGACGCCCCAGATGAGGCCCTAACATTTACTCACTGCGTCCCACTGTGGATGAATCTAATCTGTGAAATGAAGAGAACACTCGGACTGCCCACCTCACAGGCTGGTTTGGCTAAAAGTAGAGTGTGAACCTCAAAGTACTACAGAAAGATTGGCTTGGATCATTTATAAAAAGAACTTGAGGCATTTCACATTAAGGATGTAGGTACACAAGTTCTAAGTAAATCCAACTGATAAGAGTCTACTAATGTCAAGTAGGGAAGAATTCACCATTAGAGGAAATGCATTAGAAAAGGAAGACGACACTTACCCGGCGTGTAAATGTTTTACCGCACTTGGAACAGACAAAAGCAGCAGGGACAAAGTTGGGGTCATGATAGCGTTTGAAATGCATGTCCAGAAGCTGTTTCTGGCGAAAGGTCTTGTCGCAGTGACTACAGGCATAGGGCTTCTCTCCAGTGTGCGTTCGTTTGTGCATTATCATGTGCCGCTCCTGAGAATGAGAAAATGGTCTCAGAAAGTACCGCCTGCTAGTAAATTAAAGTATCTAACAGACCTCTTGAATTTAAGTCTCAACACCCACTGAGCATTTTTAGTTAACACTGAGGAAATAAAGGAGATTTTTTAAGGTATGTTCTTCAGTTTTCAAAACTGAATTAAAAAGCCCCTGAGGACACACACAAAGATTCTTCACTGTACTAGCAGTCATCTGAATAATACAAAATTCCAACTCAACTCAAAATTCCTGTCACATAACATTCCAGTTTTCCATTTCCCTTCCCCCCAAACTCCTATCCCTTTTTCAACTTTTCTAAAGTTTTTTTCCAATTCTGTACTTGTTTCCACATAACTTGTTTAAGCCCTATAAAGTGGCCAAAGACTGCATTTTGACACATCTTATCTCCTCCTATGTAACACAAATAGGACCATTATATACACATGAGCAAGAGAGGCAGTAAATGCTTTCTCACCCTCCTGGGAACCCATCAAAGAGTACCTGTCTGCATGCATAGTCGCACTGGTCACACTTGAAACGCTTCTCATTTTTGTGGGATTTTTGATGCTGAATTAGGGCATACCGCTCATGAAACACAGCATCACAATAACGACATTTCTTGCCCTGCTCGATGTAGGAATGCTGCTTTCGCAAATGGACACCTGAAAGAATAACAGTATATACTTTGATGCATAAAACAAAAAGCAAATGAATGAACACTATTCTAGTGAATATTTAATCCCTACGCTAAAGGCATTTCTCTAGCTAGCTGACTTTAACCCACATTTATAGAATAACAGCCCACATATGTTGTGCTTTAAGATTCACAAAGCACTTTCCTCACAACAAGTGTATGAACAAGTATTATCTTCTACTTACCGAGTGAGTGAACTGAGATTCAGACAAAAGAAGCCTCCTACCAGACAAATCCTCCAGAGAAACCAGGCTGTTTGAGAACCATTTCCCTCAAACCTCATTTAACACTCCATTTTTTATCTTTCTAAGGCATCCCTCATATAACTATATATTATAATGGCATATTTTGTTTCTCCCTAACTAGATTATAAACTTGAGAGCCCATACCTTACCTAAACTTCGCATCTCCTTAATACCTACCACAGTGCTCTACTGAAGTAATTCATCAAATGGTATTTGTTGATGAACTGTATTCAGGGGTAAAACTTTTTAGCTTGAGTGCTACTTTCCGTGGTCTGTAAGAGCTGGAATTTTGGCCTAGCTCATCCCATTGCATCACACTATCTCTTGTGCTTTGTTTTACTGGTAAGATTTTCTTTTTTGAGTGTACTTTCAATTAATTGTTATAGGATGTAAGCAATTTGAAGGCAGACAGGGATCAAAGCTTACATTTCTTTCTTCTACAATGTCCAAACAAGATGCCTCATAAATTATCCAAGTATCTGTTTATTACGTTTTTTGTTTTTGTTTTTTTTTTTAAAAAAAGATAACTTATTGAACTAAAATGCCATGTGGTACCAATCACAGCCTTGAGCTCGAGTCAGTATTAGTTCTTGGGTTGAGAGTCTTACCCTGGATCAATCTCTGTAGGCCTGTTTCTTATCTGTAAATGGGGCTAAATAACACGTGTACTCCATAACCTCATACGCTTGTGAGGATCAAGTGAGATGATGTATGTTAATGTTATTTCTAGCTTAAAAGTTCTAGATCATTATTAAAGTTCCTCTCCAATACCACAATTCTACGTAATCATATTACTGCTTTTTCTTTAGCACGGTGTCAGTTTAGATTTCAGCTCCAATTTTTCAGTCTTCATTAGCAAGATCATTTATTTTATGAGCAAAAAAGAAGTCTACATTCAAAAAAGGCCTATGTTATATCAAGAGAAGACAGGTTCATTCTCTACCTCAATTAAAGGATATGTGAAAATACTAAATTGGATAGCATCTAAGAAAGAATTTTGGATTAATTCTATAAAACTCTATTTACCACAAACTCTAGTAAGGAAACTATTTACTCTATACAAGCTCCTGTCTGAACAACATGTATTAAGTATAAGCATCACCACCTTCCTTAACAGTCAGCAAAATTTTCAATTATGAAGAATATACTGACATAATATGCCAGGACAAGGCTTATAACAAGGGCTGAATTCAGTTGTGACAAATATTTCACTTCCTAACAGGACCTGACTCTTAACTAGGAAATAGTCTGATGAAAATGTATTTTTTCTTCTTTTTCTATGCCCAACTCTGGCCATGTCACTCTTCTGCACAGAAATCTTAAAGGGTTTCCTTACCTCCAGAGTCAAATTTAAACTCCTGTCCAGCACTTCATGCTTTCCATAACCTGGCAGCAACTGCTCTCTTTGACCCAATTTAATATTATTCCTGTCTGTCCCTGCACTAAATGTCAGTTTCCTCTGAGTTCCTTTGTTGGAATTTCTCCCCATCCTTTAAACCCCTAACTCAAATGACAATTCCTCCAGAAGCACCAGCCTGTGTGAGAACCCTCAAATCTCAGTGAATACTTTGCTTTGTATTTTTCTAAGGCATCCTTCATAGAACTGCATATTATAATTGCATGTTTGTTATTCTCTAACTGGATTATACATTTGAGAGCCCATACCTTACCTATACTTTGCATCTCCCTAATACCTACCACAAGTGCCCTGTTGAAGTAATTCATCAAATGGTATTTGCTGGTGAATTGTATTCAGGGGTTAAAACCTTCTAGCCTGAATGCTACTCTTCTTGAAGAAACAACAGAAACAGCAACAAAGCAATTACTTTCAGTAAAACCCAGGCATATGCACAAATGCTAGTTTGTAGCTTTGGGTCAGGTCAGTTGGCTCATCCTGATTCTACTGATAATTATTCTAATACTCATGTTTTCACATACTCCTCAGGGAGGACTTCTGATTAATAAGCGGCTGTAACCACTTACCCAAATCACTTTTTCTGGCTATGACAGTGTCACAATGTGGACAGTGAAATTTGGCCACATTCTCTGTGTGCTTCTGTAAGATGTGCATTTTCATTGTGCCACTCTGGGTAAAGCGAGCATGACAAATATAACATTCATACGGCTTTTCACCTTAAAAGGAAACAATTTAACATGTTTGTTATATCACTCTGATTGTAAATTAAGATGAGTATAATCAAAATTTCATAAACCACAAAACAATGAAGAAAATCTATTTGGGCAACTACTGTCTAGATTTGTACCAGTCTTCCCAAGAATCTTAAGATTGTATTAGAACTCTTAGATCAACTGGCAGGTAGCAATATTCTTTTACTTTGTTTCTAGCAAATGTTAGGAGAATTTAAAATCTTCTGTTCTCTGACTTTAGGAGTATATGATACCAGTGCTTATTAGAGAGGAAAAGGAAGATGAGAAAGATGACAGCCTAGAAGTCTTCCATAAATTAGTAAATTGATTAAAAAACCCAACTAGAGATACACAGACCTCATCTTTTTTTTATTTTTAGGCAATTGGGGTTAAATGACTCGCCCAGGGTCACACAGCTAGTAAGTGTCAAGTGTTTGGTCTTGAGGCTGAATTTGAACTCAGGTCCTCCTGACTTCAGGGCTGGTGCTCTATCCACTGTGCCACCTAGCTGCCCCAGACCTCATCTTTCAAACAAGAATTCCATCTGGTGAGTTCAGCTATCCTCTACAAAGTCCTAGGATGATGACTCACTGAAGGGTTACATGAGCAGAATAAAAGGTTTGCCAGGTTTTTCCATACTGCAAAGGCTTTAAGCATAACAACAGTGGCAGATTGCTTTCCAAGGACCAGATTCTTCATTGTTAGTAAACTGATCACTTGTGGATGAATCCTTTGGCCATGGTAGCACATAAATCAAAGAAAACATAAAATAGTTTTCAATCCCAGGTGACCAATTCCTGCTTCTGCAGTGAAAGGAGTAAGAGAGTGGCAGGGTGGCGTCAAGAGTGTTTAAGAATCAAGATACAGGCCATCTATAAACACTAATCTGGCACGTTGGTAAAGAAGAGATTTTTGTTCAATGACCAAAGAGCAAATATAGCATGGGGGAATTTAAGCACATCAATCTCAGCCTTCTTGCTTTAAAGGTAATCAGAAGTTAAAAGAAGTTATGGCTCAAGGGAAGAATGTCTCAAGTTCTCCCTGGAGAGGCAAACAAAGTAGCTGCCCGAGGTTGGTTTTATCTTGAGCCCAAAGGCAATAAGAAACATGATTTCATGGGATATCTGGTTGTCTGCTGCTACAGTGCTCACAGTAGTTATCTGCAAAAAGACTATTAAATAAATGCAATGGATAAGTCAGTATCTGTCACAGAGGATGAAGAGGAAAAGAAAATTATTAAGAATTGCTAAGACTCTCTAAATTAAAACATAAATTTGATACTTGCTGACTCTAATGCAAAGGTGGATATAGACAAGGCTGGTGAAAATTATGTTGGAAAATGCATGTCTAGAATAAAAGAATACAAGAAGTCTAAGACTTACTGACCACACAGAAGCCTCACAGCTATATATCATGAAGACTTTCTTTTAAACTTCTTTAATTAATTTATTTTCAGTTTTCAACATTCACTTCCACAAGATTTTGGGTTCCAAATTTTCTCCCCAACTCTCCCCTCCCCCCACCCCAAGATGGCATGCACTCTAAATACTCCCTCCCCTTATCCCCTTTCCCTTCTATTTTCCTGTAGGGGAAGATAGATTTCTGTACTCCCTTGCCTGTATATCACATAAATACTTTCTTCAAGAATTGGAAGGCAGCAGACACGGTTAGCACAGACTAGCATTCCCCTTCCCTCCTAAGTGACCATATTTTGAGAGACAGAGAATCATTACTAATGGAGGTATCATTCCTGAACTTGTAGTCTGTGTATAATCAAAACAAAGAACCAGATTAATAAAAAGCTAGAAGAATAAAAATAATGACAGGATGTATAACACATGGACACCGGAAGGATACTGATGACAATGATTCAATGAGGGACTGTTGCTCTTGTATGGTTGGTCAAGCCAAAATCTTTTCAAATGATGGATCTTATCTAGGGCTCCGTTCTGGGCCTTGACGTAAGCAGTACAACGTCATCCCCATAAAGGACCATCTGGAAGAACCCATCCTCTAGGAGGAATCCTTCCTTCATCTTGGACTCTTTATTAGATCTCCTCTATGACAATGGCAAATACCTCTGGGGGACCATACATTTCCCTGTCCGGCACTTTGCATGATATTAATGACCACAAGGTTATCAAGGCCCAACTTTTGAATACTAATATTTTAACAATGTTGCTGAATGGTTAAAAGTCATGGAACACTACAGTCTCCAAAGAAGTAAAAATAAGTACCATTCGGAGAAGTGTGGTGAGTAGGAGGAGGTTTTAGCACTTAATAAGTAACTAAAAAGGATAACTGAAGTAAAAGATATCTGAGAAAGGAATGAGTGAAAAAGATGATAAGGGGGTCACTTGGCAAACTTGAAGGATAACCCACCATGTGTCCACCAGAATCCTAGAAACATCAGGAAGAAACAAGTCCACAAACACACAGGGTGGACTGGCTGTGGCTAACTCATGGGGAATATCTGGAGCAGAATTACACAGGATGGGCAGGCAATCTGAATGGGATGTGATCTGCCTTGTTGCTGAGTGACCCAGATGATGAGAACATAGGTCAATCTGAATTTTAAAAATACCGAAACTAGACATTGGCACACATATTCATCACATGGTAGTTGTCCATTTGGCAACAAGTGGGTCAAGACTTCCCAGACAGATGATCAAGTGAAACAAACCTAACACCTGACAAAAAGCAGTTTATTAGTCCAGTCATAAAGGCAGCATACCGGAATGGGTTCTCATGTGTCTTTTCAGCTTGTATGTGTCCCTGCTGGCGTAACTGCACAAGCTACACTGGAATGGACGCTCTCCAGTGTGAGAGCGAATGTGACGTTTCAACTTGCTGACCTGCAACAAAAGAGCACCAAGTTATCAACCTTCTCAGATACAAATCGCAACTTCATCGGTGCTTGAGCACAAAAACCTGGTTTAAGGACATTAACTTGATCCCAGGTCAACCTTGTGCCCTCTCCACTTTCTTAAGAACTCATTTATTTCCATTGTTTCAATGCCCGCCTAGGTAGGGCTAACCCTCCATACTGCACTGCCAATCCCTCCTATGCTTCTTGCTGCCTCCAATTCCTATCTTCCCCCTCACTAATACAGTCATTTTCAAGTACAGACCTGGTCATTTGATTCTCCTACTGAGAACGTCTTCTAATAGCTTTACGTTTTAAAGAGCAAAAAGGTTGGATTCCTTACTTGACTTACTCCGTTTCTGGTGTATCCCTGCTATTATCAAGCAAACCCTAGCAATGGCAGTATCTTCTGCCTTATCCCCCATGCTTCACCTGCTTGCACCTCCAAAATCTTATCGATGTTAGCCATCTTCTTGGCCAACTAACCTACTTCTCTGCAGTCATATTATGGGTCCTTTCAAGCACTTTAAAAAATATACCTAAGAAGGATCTAAGACATCTCCAAAGGTCTCATGATGGAAAATGCTATCCATATCCAAAGAAATAACTATGGAGCTTGAATGCAGATCGAAGCATTCTATCTGCTGTTATTTTTCTTCTGTTTTGTTTTGTTTCCTCTTTCTGGTGGTTCCTCCTATTGGTTCTAATTCCTCCTTACAACATCACTAATGTGAAAATATGCTTAATTTTAATATTAATATAGTATGTTTACTAGGAATGTATATGTACAACCTATATCAGATTGTGTGCTACCTTGGGGAGGGAGGGGGAGAAAAATTTAAAACTCAAAAGCTTATGGAAGTGATTGTTGATAAATCAAAATAAATTTTAAAAAATTATGCCTAAGGAATGACCCCCACCAAAAGTTTCCCAACAAATTACATCTGGTTCCAAATGCTCTAGCAACTCCTTGGCATTCAGATATTTCTAAATGGCAATAATAAGGTTTATTTATCTAGTGTTATGAGGTCTCACAAATGCTTTCCTTCTTTCAACTTTGTAAGATGTATCATTTGAATGATCATCCCACTTTATAAATGAAAAAAGGGAGGTCCAGTAACTCCCTAAAGTCACACCAGGACACCCACAGAGCTGGAATGGGAACTGAACCTAGGCCTTCTGGCTCCAAGCTCAGGGCTTCAGACTCAATATACATCACGCTGGCTCTCCTGGATAGCTAGAATTGTGCTTATTTGTGCTCACATTACTATCATTCATCTGCCCTATCTCCATCACTAGACTAACAAACTTCAAAGCAGGTGTCATGGTGGCTCTGCTCCTTTAGTAGCCCCAACTATGACTTTACACACAACAGCTGAACATTAATTAGTTAAGGAACTGCATTCTCATCCACTGCAGCTAAATTGTACCACGAGGTAAAAACAATTGGTGTGGTAGGAAAGATTCAGAATTCATTTTACAGCCCTCTCCACCCTACCCCTACCAGTGACTACTCTTGGTGTTTATATACAATCAAGAATTAATTATTGCAAATCCTAATCTAACTGTTCAACATAAGAAACTTAGTTTCAATGCTGGCATTGAAGAGATCTGTTCAAAAGAAGACTGAAAAATGCAACCTTTACCTCAACACTAGCATAATCACACATGGAACACTTGAAGGGTTTCTCATGGGTATGTTTATAGCGTCGATGCCGCACTAATTCTCCACTGGTTACAAAGGCCATGTCGCAGTCGGGGCACTTATGAGGACGAGTACCTAAAAGGAAAGTACACAACAAACAAACCTTAGGAGATCCCCAATCAAGCCAACTCTGGTTTCCTAAGCACCATCACTTATTAAGAACCCACTACTGATAGAACACTGTGCTAGGCCTCGGGGGAGATCTACTGTTTAGAATAAGACATAGCCCCTGTCCTTGAGGAATTCAGTCTAGCAGCAGCACAGAGAGCTGTAATATACAATGCATGATAAAGACATGAAAAATGTTACAAGGCAAGAGTACTATTATGAGGCCTGAGTTGTTCATGACTGAGGTAGGGGAAGCCTTTATGGAGTTGATGACATGGGCTGGGCTTCCACAGAAGGTAACTAATCTCACAGACCTAAAGCTGGAAGGGGCTTCAGAGGCCTCAAGTCTGACACCTTCATTCTACAGATGGAAGGGGAAAGGACTTTTCCAAGGTCATACAAGTCATGAGCATCTGTGCTCCCCCCTTGGTACCACACTGACTCCCTTCATCTTTAAAAGATGAGGACTCCAATAGGCTAGAGAAGACCAGTGACGCCATTACCAGATCAAAGCATTTGTAAAGTGCTTTGTAAACCTTAAAACTACAGTGTAGTTCTGGACTGGTGCTACCATGGAGAATTGCCATTGTGGGCCAAGCCACGGGGGCCATGGTGGGCTAAGCCGTGGATGAGTGTGATGGCATCAAGACACAGCTGACCCAGTACCCCCGATTCAACTCCTTATAGCCTTGCCAAATGAGAGAAGAATGATTTATGGGAATTCCTCTTGAACCTACATATGACAAAAACCTCAATTAATGAGAGTGATTAGGTTTTAAATTTCACTTCCTGGCTCACTAATTGGTTTTAATCCTCACTGTCAAACAATTCCACTGTCTTCAGAGCCTGTCCTGGCTTTGCAGGTTCAGTACCTTAAATAAATGAGTTGTATTTGCTGAGGCAGGATCATCCCTGAGAACAGCCATGAACAATGCTTAGGAGAAAGATCTGCCGGAAATCTGAGGAATGCAGGACCTCATGCCTGTTGGGGCTGAGGATGGCATCAAGTTCTGAACTTTAAAAAGCTGCTTGTTTTCTAGTGATCTGCGTCTTCTACCACAAAAACAACATCTGGCAGGTTTCTAGTTGATTACAGTTTGTCCATAGGATTCAACAGTTTTAAAGTAGCACAGACTTTCCATGGGCTAAAGAGACAGGGCAGGAGCTACCGGTTATTCTCTTTTTAAGATCTAGTCAACAGTTGCACACCCTCCTGAGCTTCTGGATGATTCGACAGACTTGCTGCTACTTAGCTTACTTCTTCTAGATTCAAGAGTACTAATTTTGAAATCTGCCACATTGCAGGCATTGGCAGCTAGGTGGCTCAGTGGCATCTGCAGCCAGCTAGGTCTGCAGTCAGGATCTGGCCTTGGACAATTCCTAGCTGTGAGATCCTGACCATGCCTGCCCCAGCTTCCTCATCTGTAAAATGGGGTCCTGTCCAGGGTTTCTGTGAAGATCAAATGAGATATGTGTAAAACTGCTTTAGCATAATGACCCTGGACATGGGGAATCACCTCCCTGAAGTTCTCTTTCCCACTCTGTAAAAGAAGACGGCTGGACTAAATAGCCTACGTAATTTCTTCCAGCTCTAAATCCTACATCCAAGGATGGATGAGGCATTACCTGGACACAGAGGTGACCCTTGGTGCCAGAAGGGATAGCACCAATGGGATGGCCTTCCTGGGATCATGGCTCTAGAGCCTGAAGCAACCTTGGAGAAGAGCCCATCTAGTCTAATCAGGGATCTTAGGTGAACTGCCCATGGTCACACAAATAGTGTCAGGAGAAGGATTTGTACCCAAGTTCTGAGAGATCAGGGTCAGCGCCTCTAACGTAACGTTTTATTGACCTCTTATAAGGGAAATACTTGATAAACCTTAGGAGGTCTACAACAAGGTAAATATATTGCATCCAATGTTTTGCTGATTTATAGAAGCATGATGGAATTGAAGTCCCAAGACTGCTGAGGGAATGCACAGTCCAGATTTCCACATTAACTACAAGAGCCCTTTCCTGGCTCTTCATCTTACCATTAAGTTGAAGGAGGAGGACGTAAGCCTACACTTCTCCTACCTCCAAGTCCGGGCTCTTCTCATGCTCTGCCTGGCCTCCATCCACCCAAGAAGACTACCCAAAACAGTCATCTACAAGAAATTCCTTCTAACGTATTGTCTATACACCCAACACCCACCACCCACCACTTTCTGTTCTTAAAAGGAGGCCTCTTTGTAGCACCCCCCTCCATTCCTTTCTCCTAAAGCACCTGTGTGAGTATTTAGGTGGTTCCTCAGCAAGGTGACTGTGCGGAAAGCTCTGCCACAGAGATGGCACTTATGTGGTCTTTCATCCGTATGACTTTTCATGTGTCGATCCAAATTTGAACGTCGTGGACACGTATAACTGCAAAGCTCACACTGGAATGTCTTTTTCACACCTGTATAGAAAGAAAGGATTTTAGCCAAAGCTTTACTGACCCTGGATTGTCCCAGGGATTTCTAGATTAACTCACCTGTGGATTTCTAAATTTCATTTGCCCTTCTAGGTAAATCTTAGCTGAATTTCTACCTTTAAGCTCACTGCTGTTATAGCCACACATTAAAACCCAAAGTATTTAATGTGGGAAAAAAAACCCAGAACTTACTTTCAGACTGGTTAATAAGAGTTCTACCGACAACAAATCAAAACTAGATTGACCTGTACACAATGTTGTTTACCTTCTATTCCACCTCAAACAAAAAGCTCCGAAGGTCAACAACGGAAAAAATTCATCTTACCTTTCTTTTTTATTTTTGTTGGCTTTGGAGGCTTCATGTTACCAACAACCTTCTCTGCGTTGACCTCTGATAATAAACCCTCTTGTTGCTCTTCCTCAAAGTCATACACAGAAACATCCACATCTTTGCCCTCCTCTGTGTAACGAAGTTTGCTCTTTTTGGTTTTTTTTGTCTTTTTGGCAGGTGGCTGATAGTCTGGGTCTTTCTGCCAATTGGGATCTTCCTGGGGCTGCAGCTCCCCTTGCTCTAATGTTTCAACCTCACCATTGGCACCTACTTTTACCACCTGGAAACCTTCAGGCAAAGGTAACGTGTGACAAATCATGGGCTCGCCTTCAGGCAGGCCTTCTTTAGAGACCTCATTTTCATAAGCCCCCTGCAGTTCTTCTACAGAAGTGGTGGCCACAGGCACCGTTACTGGTACAGGGACCTGAACAAGCTGAAGTTCCCCAAGGTTTATAGGTTGTTCTTCCATATTAACAACTTGAAGTGTTATTATTTGCGTGTCATCCACAGTGGCATCAGCTTCCTGAGGTACGGTACCCTCCATGACTTCAGTCTTCATCTGAAGTAGGGTAGGATCCAGCTGCTCCATCATGACCATCTGGACACTGCTGTTTACCTCCTGAACCACTTCATTCCCATCCGCCTGGGTCTGTGATATATGGCAAGTATCCTCATCCTGGCCCCCTTCCCGGCGTCTCTGATACGTTTTTCTCTCTTTTCCTTTGATGAAGGTTTCAGACTCCTCCATGATTGCTTCAACCGCCTCACCTTCCATTTTCCTTCCCTTTATTAAAAAAACCCCAACATATAATGATTAAAAAAAGAAAGTAGACTGCCTTCAGTCAGCTCAAGGACAAATGAGAAATGTAGCACAAATGAGAGAACTTAAGCAATGAGAGAAATTGTATTTTGTTCTCCCTTATAAAAAGCACTTATATAAACTGTCTATTAGTGATTTTTTAAAGTTTTAATTGATTATAGTTTTTAACTAAAAGGCATTTCTAAAAAATACCAGCCTCTCTACACTAGGAAGTGAACAATTATCACCACCACCAAAAATAGCCAAAAATACATATGATAATATACGTAACATTTTGTTCTAGTAGTGGGGGGAAATACAAACACAAAAAACAGAAACAAATGTAAAGCACAGTTCCAGGAATATTATACTTCAGGCTCCAATTGGTTTGTGGCATAAAGGGCATATTGGGTTAAATCCTCTATGGAGGATTTATAGAAGGGCATGGGCAAAATTATTGCATTGGATGAGGTGATATAGACAGGTAGCAATTAGAGCATATTTGGAGTAATCATGTATTCCCTCAAATGTTACAGATTATCAATCCTTTTAGCTCATGTATACAATTCCTTCTTATACCTTTATTAAGATCTATGGAAGAGTTTCTCCTATGTTACTGTAATTTTTCTATAATTTCATCCTTTCTACAATATATTTTGTTTTCTAAAGATATGTAATTCTTCAAAATTAATGATCACTAAAATAACTTTACATATATAATATATATAATAGTAAATCAGAAAAGAATGGATAGTCAGTCTACCAACACATTATGTATCAGGAATTTTAAAGATTTTGTGATTTGTGAATCTGCTAACAAACGAGGTAATAATCCCCTACTATGTCCACAAGGATCACAGATTTTTGAGCTGGAAGGGATCTTAGAGATTATATCAAGTCTAACTTTCTTGTTTTACAGATAAGGAAACAGCTCCAGAATAAGTGACAGCCCAGAGTCACACAGCTAGCAAGTATCAGATACGGACTTCAAAAGAAAGTCTTCCCTCTCTTTCTTCAAGTATCTGGTTAGTTTAGAGTCTCTTCTCTCCTTATTCAAGCAAATAATTAGGCCACATCCCTTCACCTAAACTGATGTTTTTTAAGATCTTTCTTTAGAGGAAAAAAATGTTTCAGGTGTAATTTCAGTTACAACATTGTATTTCCACAAACCTTATATATAGATCAAAAGAACATTTACTTTGACAAGGCACTGAAAGGCTGTGGGGTGCACACAGCAGGTCTCAGAGGTAGGAAGATCCATGCCCAAGCCCTGCTTCTGACACATACTGGGTGTAACCCAGGCATCTCTCCAGGACCACAAGTTGGAGAGCAAATACTAATCTGCTCCTTACCAGAAGCTCCTGACACCCATAAAATAACATATAAGTCTAGTTTAAAAAATATATTGATTTGTGAAAACTTTCGTAAATAGCTAACTACAAAAAAAAAGTCACAATCCCAAAAATCAGTGGTTGGGTGCACCTATGTGCTAAAAAATTATTTCATCTGTGGATATAACAAGCAACAAGCTTATATAAAAAGCTAAATGGAATTTGTTTATAACTATCCTCTTCACTTGGGGATTTCTAATACAGATGGCTCTACCACTAGTAAAACTTCTATTTCCTTATTGTTTGTGTTGTATTCTATTGCTATCAAGTGAAAAAAGGAAGAATTTTTGTGCTGTTTAAAAACTATTCTAATGTGAAAAACTGATGTTTGCCTCAGGCCTGGAACCCAATCTCTTCTACAGAGCACTCAGAACCCTCTCATCCTAATCTAACCCCACACTATTTCTCCAAACTTACTTTCTACTGCTTCCCAAAATACCATATTTCCAGTCCAGTCGACCTGGTTTTTCTCATTATCTTCTGTATAAACCAAGACCAGACAGATTTCACTGATGGCTGTGGTTTTTTTTCCCCTTCTGCCCTTATGTCTTTTGACTCTGCTGGTTTAAGTCCTCCTGATCCTTCAATGTCCAGCTCAAGCCCATTATCTTACAGGAAGCCTTTTTAAATCTCTCTTTGAACTCTCCTTCTTCGTTAAACTCCTACTGCATTTATCTTCTAAACCACCCAATTTAATACATAATTATTTTCTAATTGTCCCATATTATCCTCTCAGCTGGACTGCAGGGTCCATGTAATGCATGCCTCTTTTGTGTCACCTATACTTAGGTTGGTCTTACATATTATATACAGGCTGACTACTTTTTACACTGTCTTTTTTCAAGAAGCTCCTTTTTTCCCAATTAAAAGAGAAAAATGAAAACAAAAGACAGATTAAAATAAGATTATGGTCACCAGATATGTTGAATTTAAAGACAAACTTATAAAGAATGGATTTCTGAAAAGAACGCTTTAGTAATATTGCCATATGAGTCTACAGAAAAATATTCTAGTTTCCTCAAGTACAATCAGGTAAACAAACTTTCTGCTCCCATTTGGTATCCCATGCCTACTGTTCTCCTCCCACCCCCCAATTTAATTTGTCCTTCCTAATCTGGCATTTCTGGTACCTGCTGTCCTACCCCATTCATTCCCTTTGGTCAGTAGCCAGAAGCTGCAAACAGCACTGATTAAATGACCCACCCTTCCCCCCCAGCTCCCTCTCCTTTTGGAAGAAAATGAGACATTCTAAAACTAACCCAGAGAGAAGAATCAACCCCAATTTTCTAAGACCTCAGGGAAAAGGATTTTACAAACCTTCCTCAGTAACCCGTTCCAACATTTAATTCATTGTTAGGAAAATTCTTCAAAAATACTTTGAGACTGCAATTTTACCCATTCCTTCTTATTCTGGCTTTATCGTAGATAGAGACAAAGCATATCTATCAAGAAAGACAGAAAAACAGCCAAAAGTGAAATTTTTGTATGGTGTTATTCTCAGGCAAGTATACTTAAATATCCACCCCATCAGGAAAAAAAAAAGTTTAGTTTTAGTTGAAATAAGCAAAAAAGTTAATCTTGGCAAATGACTTAAGACAAAACACTGTAGAACATAAAACTACAACTGAACAATACTCTGAAGTGGAGTCACAGATGCCATAAATCTAGAACTGGAGAAGCCTCCAAAGTTACCCAATCCAACCTCATTAATTTCCAGATGAAGAAATTGAGGGCAAAGTGAAGTATCTTGCCCAAAGTCACACAGGGAAAAAGAGCCAGAGGTGAATTTGAAGCCAGGTCCTCTGATAAAAGAAGCAGTGTTTCCTCTACTATACCATGCTGTGAGTCTATAGGAAGGTGAAGAATAAAAGTCAGACCTTCTTTCCCTCAAGAACGAAGATTACATAAGTACTCTCACATAGGCTGTAATCGTGTCATTTATCAGTATTTCATGAGGCATCTAGGGCTAGTGATAAAGCAATGGACTTGCTGAGAGGCAGACTAGTTTGAATCCTGCTTTAGACATTTTCACTACTCAGTCTGTTTCTTCATCTGTAAAATGTGAATAGCATCTACTTCACAGGGTTATTGTGATAACAAAATGAGATAATATAAGCAGAGCACTCTGTAAGCCTTTAAATTATTGTTAGCTCTTCAATCATATATGTCATATATTTAAAAACACAAAAATTACTTAAAAGGGATGATGAATTAGTAAGAAGCAACAGAGATGCTTCTTAACCAGAAGAAAACAAGTTCAGAAGGAGACAAAGAAAATTTTGTTACTACCTTTTAAATTTAATATTTTTTTAAAAACAAAATATACATAACAGAAGTTCAGTTTCATAAACAAGCCTCCTTTTTGTTCTTTGTATATTAGAAATGCTTGGATTTTACATAATTAAGTCCATAATTTAAAAAACAAAAAGAAAGAAAGAAATGCCTCGGGCAAAATTTCAAATCTGTTGGAAACCCTGGGCCTTGGTTCCCTGATTTGCAAAATCCCAAGACTATAGAACCAGAGCTAGAAAGCCCCTCAGATCATCTAGTCCAAACACTTCATTTTACAGATGAAGAAACTGAGGATTATAGTAAATTGAGCTCCTTGCCTAAGGCCAGCTAGATAGTAAGCAGCAAAGGCAGGATTTGAACCCAGGTCTTATGAGCTAATAAAAGACCATCTTCTTTCTATGTGGCTGCCTTGTGACAGGAAACAAGAGCCTGCCTAGCAAAAGGCCACTAGTTATAAGACCTGGGTTCAAATCCAGTACCTGCTGTAGTAAATTAGTACACATGAGACCAAGGCCCTCAGCCTCTCTGGGGCTCAGCTGCTTCAAAAGAAGAGTCTTTGCTATACAGCCGAAGTTCCTATGACTAGCTGTCCTCTTTAGCTTTAACATTCTTTGACTCAAATTTCAAACCACCAAGAAGGCACAGAGACTCCTTTGATAAAAACAGCAACATTAACCTTCTGCTGGAAACAATCACAGCCAGCCGATGTCGCTGACACACAGATACAACTAGTGGAGACACTTCAAGGTTAGTATGAGAGCTCATGTTTGCTCTGCTTTTACTAATTCCTTATGGTACCTTTCTCTAGAGAACTAAGAATACTTTGGCCTTCACTGAAAGAACCTCTCCCTGTCATGCGCCTGAGGGATGGCTACGAAAAAACATCTCCTGGATATGAATGTCATAATTCTGTATTATACAAAGTTCTTTAACATGTTTCCATTCAATTACTAGCAGCTGTGTAGGAATACAGGCAGATCTGGGGACTATTTGATGGTTCCTACTTAAAAAAAAAAATCAAATTTCTCTTTGCTACCTAATCTCTTTATTGTCATCCTAAGAATTAAGGAAAACACTTCTTCCAGTGCCTAAAGCTAATTCTAAAGGAAGATATGTGACTGCCTGACAATTCAGTTCCAGAGTAAGGTGGAAAGGTCTCACCCACTTCACTGGAGAAAACAGTAGACATTCTTTAGGGGTGAGGGGGAATTCAACATTCATTACATGCTTATGTTCAGTACACTGTATTAGGCACTAAAGAGAATAAAATATGGAGCTAATCTCAAGGAGTTTTCTAATTACATAAAACTAGAATTCAGGTGTCGTAAATTCTAATCCTATTGCTCTTGCTAAATTTTCTACAGCACCTTAGATAACAAATATTCCAGTCAAAAGTAGGGGAGATGAAAAGACTAAAACTCAAATCTTAGAGAACACAAAACACTGAAAAAAAATTTTGTCTTTAGCCACTGACAAAATACAGCATTAAAAGCTGTGATAACAGGTTACCTATTAGAGGTGTTTATACACCATAAACTGAATCCCAAAGTAGCCACAGATTCCTAATCTACACTGAAAAATGATCAGAACAATACACAAATCAGAACTGGATTATCCTGCCAAAACATAGCACCCTCTCACTGTGAAAAATATTTGGCTTAAAAAAGTCTAAAATCAGCATTCTACTTGAGAAAGTCAATTCTTTTGCCACAGAAATTCAGCAGGTGTGACCTGGGCCTAGCGGCTTTAAGCAGCAGCTTAAATTTTGTAGTGAATGGGTAATGGGGCACATGAGGCCATTCACATGTCTTTTGCCCCTTTTCTCATGATTTCTCTTCTGTTGAGTCCAACTCAGATATTTCTTCTTTTCTGGCCCTTTACCTGATCTTTTCTTTGAGTAATATTTGCCAAGACAACAGCCAAGCACCAGAATACCTTACTGGGTTAGAAGATCCAAGAATAAGGTATAGCAGGTACTACCAGACCTGATGCTGGCAGTGGCAGGGGAAGTCAAAGGATTTGGCTTACCTCTGGATTTCAGCTTAAAGCTTAATGCTATAAAGATGCTAAGGAATAGGATACTACAGGATCACAAATCTTAAGTTGGCACAGATCTTAGAGATCAACTAGTCTACCCCCACCTTGGTTTACAGATGAAGACATGAAGGTACCAATAAGCTATACAACTTGCCCAACGTGAGAAATATGAGGGCTGGAACACAAACTTAGGTCTTCTGATTCCCATATCTGGTGCCCTTTCCACTATACTACACTGACTTCAAAAGGCAGCATGAAGCTGTTTTCCTACCAATTCAGGATTAGCTTTAAATCTTGAATACTTGAATGTCATTTTATACTAATGTGTCTTCCAAAACCTCAAAACCCATGTCAACTAATATAGGATGATAGCCTTGACTTTGTTTTAAACCACATCCAAACAGAATACAGAAATTAAAGATTTCTATTTCTTTCTACAAACTATGGGAACCAGCTAATGATCTATATGCCTGCCTGCCACAGGGAGATGGGTTTCCATTCTGCATCTCTGCCTTTGCACACCCATGGCACTTGCTAAACAGTTAACTCCTTGCCTCAGAAGCACCTCTTTTCTCCTTGCTACTTAGGTCCCCTGGTCACTATCTATAGAAAAGTTTACAACCTCCTGCCTGCCCCTCTCTAAAATGAGCCAAACTCTCAAACTTCTATTTAGCTTTTAAAGATCTTCAGTCTTTTTTTTTAACATCTTGCTTCACCCTCCATGAGCTGTATGGCCTAGTGACATTGACTTCCTGGTTCTTCCTCAGAACAAAACACTCCATCTCCTGATGACATGTTCACTGGCTGTCTCTCCCCAGGCCTTAAATGTTCTCCTTTATTTCCACCTCTTGCCTTTCCTGGCTTTCTTTGAGTCTTAACTAAAATCCTACCTTTTGTAAGATTTTCTCACTCTTCCTGGATGTTAGTGCCTTCTCTCTGAGATGACCGCCAATTTATCCCCATACACATCTCTCGTTTGTCCGTAGCTGTTTGCATGCTGTTTCCCAGTTAGATTGCTTGGCTCTCCCAGCCCTTAGCACAGTGTCCGGCACATAGTAATAATACTTGTTGACTTTACCAAACTTTTTGACACTGGAAATAAAACTGCAGTCTAATGACTGAAGCAAACAGAAAAGCATGCATGTTAATGTACTCAGCTCTAAAATTATGATTGCCTTGCTGGCCAAGCAGAATTTCTTCTTAACAATGACACTGCATTTAAATGACTGGTAAACATGTTGTATTAACTTACATGGGAAGATACAATGTAATGTTCAGAAATATGTATATTCAATATTTTCCCATTCATAAGACACTGTAAATATTTAAAAAATGAAGTTTTTCTATACTCAGTTCTATATTTTCCTTTTATCTGGTAGATTCACCTGGCTACCGTGTCTTTTTTTTTTTTTTTGCTAGGCAATGGGGTTAAGTGACTTGCCCAGGATCACACAACTAGTAAGTGTTATGTGTCTGAGGCTGGATTTGAACTCATGCTCCTGAATTCAGGGCCGATGCTCTATCCACGGCGCCACCTAGCTGCTTCTGTTACCATGTCTTTTTGCAATTCAATCAGCTTTTCCTTCATGAGCTTAATGATCTTGTTTTATTGTCTTCTCTTTTTCTTTGTGCATATATGTATTTTTAGATGTTTTCTATATGCAGACTGTTGGATTCTGTTTTCTTCTCCAATCTGCATTCCCTATTTTAGAGGATTGCTTAATCTAGTCGTGCTAATACTAAGTTTGCATTTCCCCTCATTTTTTGGTATTGATTTTTATCTCCTTCTAAGTTTTTGCTTTGCTGATATAATTAAACACTGTTTATACTCCAACAGTTAATGAAGTACTGAGTGATACCTAGGCTGTTAAGAACTGTACTAGGAAGTGTGAAAAGGACATACAAAAGAGGGAAAAACAGTGCCTGCCTTCAAGGAACTTATATTCTAAGTGAAAACATATAGGTCAATAAATATAACATAATGGGGGGGGAGAGGGAAGGAGGGGGGGGAGAGAGAGAGAGAGAGAGAGAGAGAGGAGAGAGAGAGAGAGAGAGAGAGAGAGAGAGAGAGGGAGAGAGGGAGAGAGAGAGAGAGATCGCGAGCGAGCACTAA